AGACAGTAATTGAAGAGCATGTCAAGGAAGCCAAACAACTTTTGGAGAAATCACCTTATCGTGGCACAGAAAATGATTTCACTCCATCATTGGAAGAAATGGTGAGGCATGTCATTCAGCAAAACAAGGATGTTGACAGCCTCTTAGACTCTGTGGCAGCTCGCTCACAGCAGGCTCTTGCTCTCTCTCAATCGCTTACGGAGGATCTCACAAATCTAGAAGGCTGGATGAATGCTGCAGAAAGTGTTCTCGATCAAATCCCAATGACCCCTTTAGCTGTCGAAGAGGAATCTGAACTACTTAGAAAGTTGCACATTACTGCTAAGGTATTTCTAAGATGCTTATATTGTTTTTATAAGTGAGCCTGAGTCAATGACATGATAAATCTTACAAATTGTTGATATTTATGGTAGAACATACATTAATTCGTTTGAATACTCGAATTGCCTGCGATTATTGCATTTTAAAAATTTATTTGCTTTAAAGGCCTGGAATGGGGTAGGTTTTGATAAGGTGTTTGTTGCATAAAGTTGGTTTAATTTTTTTCACTAAATCAACGTTAACTACAGTGTGATATATTTTTTGTTGACTGTGAAGTGCCTCAATCTTAATATATTGCCTCATTAAAAATATTTCCTTTGGTCTAGACGTTGGAAAGGGAGTTGGACGGGTACAAAGTGTTGCTGGACCAAGCTTCCAGTACTGTTGCTGCTCTCTCAGCCTTGACAGCACCTTCCGAAGCAGCCGATCTTGATGCGCAAGTTCAAAAAGCTGCGGAAAAGTTCCGAGGGCTCTCGAAACGGATTAGAAATAGGTCAATTGACCTTGAAGGTGCAGTTACAAACTCAATTGATGTAAGAATTTTCAGATGACTGTCATTAACGACTTGCGAGTCATATAATATTTCCAAAATACCAATTTAAATCTCCAGATAAATGATCGGCTGAATATCTTGAACGAAACCTTGGATGAGACCCGTGATCTAGCTGCTGCTATTGGTGTACGATTGGATCCACCAAGTCGTGATTCTGATCCTCAAGTGCCATCTAATCTCGATCCATCTACAATTGTGCCATCAATTGGCATTCGACAACCTGTTAGTATGCGCTCTGAATATCTCAGTGGTCAAATAGCCGAAGGAAGAACAATTCTAGACACTCTGGAACGACGTTTGCCAGCTCTAAAAGAACTCACAAGTGCTATTGAGGAACGTTTAGGTGTTCAATCTAACGAAAAAACTAGTACAGTTTCAAGGAGACCGTTGTCTTTTGGGGAAGATGAACAACCTCCAATTGATTCAAGTGGTAATCATTCATTTCCAATATAAATGTTAAATTATGAGAAGGGATATGGAAATTTATCCTAGGCTTGAAAATGTTGCTGTTTATTTTTTCAGTGTTCAAGAGCATGAGTAAGTCTTTATATTTAGCGTGATCCGATCCCAGTATTGTTGTCTTGTTAATTGTGCATGAAAGTTTACTCAGTGTTGAAAGCTATCCATGTACTTTATTTAAACTTCGGTCTATTTTGATTTCAGTGCTGTTCAAGGCGCAATCACTTCAGAAGGACTGGCTTCAGATGCATGCAAAAATTTCTCAACGCGTAACAAACTTAGTTTATGCCTATCGAATGGCGTCTGAGGAGTTCTGGCTCCCTCTATCCAACTTTCAGTCTGATTTGATGTCCTTAAGGCGTTCGATAGATTCGTTAGTAACTGGTTCCTCTTCAAAGTATCCTCTGGAACCATTGACCTACGAAACGCAAATTGATGGCCTTCAGAAAATCAGCGAAGAAATTGCAGTGTCTAATAAAAGGCTGGATGATTTGCAAGGTGTTGGTGATAAAATTATCGACCTGTTGATTGAAGAGAACGTAAGAAGTGAAAGTGAGAAGGGTATTCTCAAAGATGAGATCAATAGTTCAATTCGAGAGGTTAATAGAATTGCGAAAAATCTAATGAACGCTTGCGAACAACAGAATGCTTCAGCTAAGGAACGTCTTGATATAGCTCATAAACTTCAAGTAACTTAAGAAATGTTTATTCATATTTCCTTAGTAAATACAGTAGCTAATTTTTTTGTTTTACTCTTTAGCATAATCTAAAGAGTTTTATTGAGTGCCTTGAAAATGCCGAAAGGGAATTTGACGGTCTTGAAACAGTGGCAACTAACGCAGACGATGTCTTAATGCAAATGGATCAACTTGAAGCTTGGAGTGAATCAGTTATGCCGAAACACGAGCAAATGGAAAATTTGAATTGGATCGCTGGTCAGTTGATGTCCGCTGCTTGTATTTCCGAAGGTTCGTTTATCCTAAAATTCATTTTCAATATCAAATTCTTGACGATTATAAAAATTACCTTTAAATATTTTACTTTTAGAGCCATTTCCTGAAGGCATCGACGAGAGTAAGCCCAGAGGAATGGGAGCCGAAGTTCAAGATACTCTTTCATCAGCAACTACTCGTTGGACTAACTTAAATGACGCTTTGAATCATCGACGTCACATTCTCCAGACTGAGTTGATGTCCCTTGGGGATTTTGACTCAGCTTTAGATGCTCTCATTCAATGGATTCAGGCCGTGCAAGCTTCTGTTGATGCCATTGCGATTTCCAGAGGAGATAAGAAGTCGTTAGATTTCGAGTTAGCTCGATCTAAGATGATCCAAGCGAATGCTGCCAGGCGGCAACCCGATGTGGTTAGGATAAATCAAGAGGCTAAATCAATTAATAAAGATAAATTCTCTCCAAAATTGGCGCAACTGAATCAAGTCTGGGAAAAGCTTAAACAGTCGCTCGTGGCCAAGCAGGCAAAACTTGAGGAGGCAATAAGAGAAGTATCGTATTATCTTATATTTGGTTTAATAAATATGTTTTGGATCTACTTCCTAGATTTTTTATCTCCCTAAAGGCTCAAAACTTTTACAGTCAGTTAGATGAACTTCGTCGAGAATATCGCCGACTGGAAGGGAAAATGTCTGCTCCTGGTGTTCGGCTCGTTGGTGGACTACCTGACAGTGCTAAGCAGAGTCTTAATCGGTGTCAGCAACTCCACAGTGCTATTGAAAACCTCGGCGGGCAGGTTGGTAGCAGTTGGTAGTTTATAGAACAACTGCGGCTGATCTATGACTCTGTACTTTCACATTTTAGATTGAGAACCTGCGTTCATCGTCAGCTGGAATGTTAGCATCAACAGGTGTAACTAGGGATCGACTAGTAGGTCATCTCGAAAGTTTGGATCAACAGCAGCATCAACTTCTAGCCCATTCCCAAGAGAGACTGGCGCAGGTTCAATCAGGGTTCACACGAGTCTCCAACTTCCACAAGAATTTCGGAGACTTTATTCAATGGCTTACACAAGCTGAACGACGCATGTCCCAAGCTCCTGACATCTCGTATGTGCCCTCGACTCTTCAGCTTCAGCTGCCAGCACAAACTGCAATGAGAAGGGAGATTGCCTCTAAACGAGAAAAATTCTTGACTTCTCTTGACAGATCAATGGTTTTCATTGGTACACATGCCTTAGAACAGGATGTGCTACTGGTAAAGAATCTTCTATCCAGTGCTCATACGAGATGGGAGAAACTATCACAAAAAAGTGCTGATAGAAGTAGGCAATTCGCAACAGCTTATAAGGTGAGTGAAATGTGATTTAAAACCATTTTGCCAATGATTGTTTCTCGGTGACAATTTCTAATTATGCTTTCTAGGAATCGCGTAAGATGTTTACAGCATGGAAGGAACTAACGGATTGGTTGAATGAGGAGTTGAATACTCGACTTCAAGAAAGTACTTGGTGCTCTGTGAGCACGCAGCCAAATGTGCTTTTACAAGCGCTTGCTCGTCATCGTGAATTTCAAAGAGATTTAGGTGTCCAAAGCACCAACTACGATGCAGTCAGAAGACAATTCATAAAAATTATGGAAAAAGCACCACGAGATGATCAGATAGAGCTTAACCGAATGCTTAGTGAACTTAAATTCTTGTGGAACGTGGTCTGTACGAAGTCACTTGAAAAGTAGGTCCCTTCAAAACTGAATATATCTTTTTTAAAGGGTTTAAAGCAGGTAACTTGCTTCTAATATTTATTTTCAGACAAAAGGTACTCGAGGATGCTTTATTACGCTCAGGTCAATACAAAGACGCTTTCGTTTCGTTGCTTGAGTGGATAAATAAGTTGGATAGCATGCTGGATGAGAGTGAGAAGAAAGGTTGTGCTGGTGATGTCGAAACTCTAAAGGTACTTTCATTAGTTTAACTGCCTTTGTGCCTCAGCCTGGTGTCACTAAGCTACTGAAATTTATTTCAGCAACTGGAAGAAGCACATCAAAATCTTCTTGCTCAGTTACGTGAGCGTGAATCTTCTGTGACGAAACTCCAAACTACAGCAGCAGAACTTTTGACAAAGTGTAGACCCGAAGGCGGTGGCGACGGGGCAGAGTTGATAGATTCTCTCATAATGCAGGAGCAATTAGCTGGATTGAATGCACAATGGACGAAAGTTCAGCTGAAAGTCAAAACTAGAACCGAAAACCTGAAGGTGGCTCGCAAGAATGTAAGTTACCAAGAGACTCTCCTTAATAAGAATGAGTATTTTTATGAATCTAATGTTTTTAATATAGGCGGAGGAGTTCCAGAAGTCTTGTCAAGATGTTTTCGATTACTGTGCTGGGGCTGAATACGCATTACGCAAAATTTCTGCACTCCCTGAAGGAGATGATCCACGAATCATGGATTCAACCGAACCGTACTCGGAAGAGGATTCTGTAAACTCTGCAGCCGCGGCTATAACTTCTGGAATGGCAGCTCAAGAAGCTCATGTATGCGACTGTCTTGCAAGGGGAAATCGAATTCTCGCAGACTGTAAAAATCACCCAGAAGCTGCTGCGAGAATACGTCAGTGGATGAATGCTGTCAATACTCGCTGGGAAGAGGTGGGTTTTCATATTTTTTACTCCCTGATTTAACTTGATGCCAACTAAATACCTCTTTGATAATACAGATGCTTGACTGGTCGCAAAAACAGGAGGTAAAGTTAGCTCAACTTTCAAAAGAACAGCGCGAGCGCCGACTAACTCTTGATGCGCTAATTAGTTGGCTGAATACAACAGAAGTTATTCTCAGGTCGGAACGCATGTCTTCCCAGCCCACAATCTCCACCGGACCTGTTTCAATTGAAGCAACTTCAGAGCTCTCTTCTGGGTCATCAAGTCGTTTCGATACCGGATCGATTGGCTTTGAGATTGATACAACTCAAGTGGAACGACTGTTGACAGAAGTTTCTCAGGTAGAATCAGAGATTGAAAAGCGCAAAGGACAATACGATGACGTGCTTAAGCATGCTAGAAAAGCCGAAGTTGTGAAGAAACGGCCAACGACTCTGAAGGGCAAGATTTCTGGCTCTAGTTCAGCAGAACAAACTTCTGTCTATTCTAGCAAACGTGTCAACGAGATGTGTGAGAAATGGGATAGAGTGATAAGAATAATCAGGACTCGAAGAGCTGCACTTGAAGACCGGTTGGTTCACGCCAATGAAATTGAGAAACTGAAGACATTTGATTTTGATGCCTGGCGACGCAGATACTTGAATTGGTTGCATGTAAAGAAAGCCCGGCTCATTGACATATTCTATCGATACGATACAGACCGTGACGGTCGCCTAACTCGGGACGAATTTACGAATGCAATCTTGGCGTCCAGTAAGATTTTATTTACATATTAATAGACCGCATCACGATTTCTGACATTTATATGATGCGAATGCCTGTTTAGAATTCCCTACATCGAGATTGGAGTTGGAGGTTGTTGCTAGTATCGTCGATGCGAACTGCGACGGATGGATTGATTTGAAGAAGTTCAACACAGCCCTGCGTTCAGCAACAATTCCCAAACCTCAGCAGCTCGATCTGTCGAAACTTGAAGGTAGCGCCATTGAACATGAAGCCAAGCATCAGGCTAGTTTATGCACCTGTCATAATACCTACCGTATCAGTAAAATCAATGGAAACATGTATAGGGTATGTCCATATATTTTATTTAGTTTGTCAATCCTGAACTTTAAATATAAAAAAAATACCTGATCTATCTTTCAGTTCGGTGATTCACAAAAACTCAGGCTGGTTCGAATTTTAAGAAGCAATGTTATGGTTCGTGTTGGAGGTGGATGGACGCCATTAACAGAATTCCTAGTCAAAAATGACCCCTGTAGAGGTATGTTTACCGCCAATTAATATGTCAGTAACTCTCCTTATTTTATGAAGTCCTATTTTTAAACTGGCTAAACAAATCCTAGCATTAACTAACTGTGCTTGATATAGTCTTCTTCTATACTGATTTGGAAGTGGAAAGGGGAAAACTGTGTAAGTTATCATATTCTTGGATGATGAGGTTTTGTTTAACCTTTCTAATTTCGTTTTCTCTACCATGCATTGAAGTGATCACTCGTTACCTTTTGTTTGCCCATTTTGAATAATTTAACTTAAACCTTAATAAATAGCAGTCCTATTTTAATACTTTGAGTGATTGTGCTTGATTACTTTTAGGAATATTATTTTGCTAATTTTGTGGCAGCATCATTTGCCTTTTAACCTTGCACTTTCCCCAATCAGCTCACGGTGACGCTATGTCAAACTTGACGAAAATGGCAGCAGTAGCATCCACCAGTCCTACAGATGATGTAAATGCGCCTCGAGAATTGAAGTTGATACCGAAGAATCTAGCGTCGTCGCTTCCCCAATTGACGTCGAGCTTGAGCGGTCCACGACGAAGTCATAGATGTCGTGGAAATGATCGAGACCTAAGTGAAACATCAAAGAGTGGCGAATTCTACATAGTTATGCCTCAGGCTCATTCACGTACAAATCATACGACGGATGTAGTTAGGCGACTTTTCGTTCGAAGTGGTGGACGAACCCTCCAAGCCATGATGCTTGGCCGTCCAAGGATGCAGAATTCTGATTCCTCTAGTATGTCAACAAGACACAGTGTTTCGTCTAATAAACGAAGCCCTCAAAAATAATTCCGTTAGACCCCTCATTGTGTCTCAGCTGTATATACAATGAATTACTGATGGTGAGAAGCCGCTGCATGCTCCAAACTCTAGCTTTTAGTCGCATGATTTCTTCCAGTGTTCATTTTTGTGCCATTTTATTTCGCATGCATCCGTATTCATTTGTCTGTTAACCTTTAGCTAAAGATGATTAAGAACCAAAATAGCTTTTTATAAACATCTGTTTTACTTTCAATATTAGCTAATTTTTGGGCAGCAAGTGAATCAGAAAGAAGAGACGCAGGTTACCCAGAAGATCAAACCCATTTGATGTTGAAATTCCATCCTCGTTTTCATGATGGAAGCTCCAGTTCAGTTTCCTGTACAGATCCGGCTTGTAGTGGACGTCCATTCAGCATTCCAAAATCAACCTCGAAACCCCTCAATCGGCGACATTTAAGCACATCAAGCACCCCACCCAGAAGTCGCATTACGCTGAAATATAGTAGAAATGATCCAGTTAGAAGTAGCCTTCCAGCTAGATGTAAGTCAGTATTTTAAAGTAATAATCATATTTTCCTGTTTTATTCCAATTGTCTAATATTTTTTGTGTTTTTTCAAGCATCGAATATCCGAAGAAAATCTAATTCCTCGCCCCATAGTTCACCATCTTCCTCCTGCCATTCGCTTCAGTTGACAAAACCACTCACTCTAGAAGAAAGTCATAAAGGCCCTCATTTCATTGATTTATGGACCGAAAACACCATCCCACCGTCACTCAACAGTAGTATTTCTGAGCACCCGGATGAGAGAAAGGTCTCCTCAGCTACCTTTGATATAAATCCCTCAGCAGATGCCAATAATCACCCTCCTTCCAACTCCTCTCCCCTATTCTCTATTTTAGAAGGTGACGAATTGAAAATAGTACCAAGTATTCAGCCAGAAGAAACAATGGATTCAATCAGAAGTAACACTCATACATGTCCCACTGAAGTTCGAGCACGGAATAAAGAGAAGTAATTAATGTCGCCCACTTTTTCAACATCCATTGGTTCAAAAAAGAAATCTGAAGTGTGATATTAATCAACGTCCATGAATTAATATCAAGACAGAGTTATGATCACGAACGATTTTCTCATTCATGTTCCATATCAGACGATAAGGAAAAGATTTCCAGTCAACTTGTATGTCAATTCACATGAAATTTCTCCAAATGTCCCATCTAGTCACTTCACTTATATATCCCAAACCTTCACCATGTTCACAAATTTCAGTTGTATACTTAAGGGAAAATAATAAATTTCCTTTGGCCCTTGAAAAAATGGTGCTTATTGTCCCCCACCCCCTACCCTCCTACACTTTATTTTCCATTTAACATTCTCACTTTTTCATGTTTCATAATATTTTGCTCTTTGACATGAAACTCTAAAGTGCCCAAAATAGATAACCTTTTGAATTGATGGAATATTTTCATGATTTAAAGAAATTATTTGGTTTATTGTTGCATCTTATAATTTATAAACACAATGGAATCCTATTAGAACATGTAGCGGACTGCTACCTTAGTAAAGTCTGACTGACTCGGAAATCTCTATGGCAGATTCTCCAACATCTAGCTAGACTCCCAGAACTATTAGGTTGGCAACTAAGTCATTGCCGATTTCAGATAAGAAGGCAAATTCGGAATTTTTGTTTAAAAATATAACTTTATTCAATTAGATATTGGCCGTTCTTGTCGATGGCCTTTTTCCATCGTTCGGGCAGAGTAAAAATTCCCCGTTCGTAAAATGTCTGGTCTTTGCTATTAAAAACTGAATTAGGTGTGATCCGACATCATCCGCGTTGTTAAAAATTTTACCATTTAAAGAGTTTTGCATGGAACGAAACAAATGGTAATCCGAAGGCGCAGGGTGAGGGCTATATGGTGGGTGTGACAAAACATCCCAACCCAGTTCCAATAATTTTTGCCGAGTAACCAAAGATGTGTGGGGGGGGGGGCCTTGCGTTATCATGATGGAAAACAACACCCTTCCGCCGATTTGATAATGCCGGCCGCTTATCTTCAATTGCATCCTTCAGTTTTTCGAGTTCTTCAACATGCACATTTGAATTTATCGTTTGGTTCTGCGGCATGAGTTCAAAATACAAAATTCCTTTGTGATCCCACCAGACTAC